ATGCAACACACTTCGCCAGCCTCGTGTCTCGTTATTATTTAATCGGCCAGCACGAAACCAGCGTCTTACTTTCCCTCTCTCTTTGCTCGATATTGAAAACCGTGGCCTCCGCTTGGGGAACTCCTCGGGCAACCCCTTTACGACTTCGATCGTGTAGTTTCTTAGCCCCTACTTTCTTTCATTGGTATTTTTGTTTTTTATGTATTTCTTATTTCTTACATTTTTCCATTGATAATTTTGTTTCTATATATTTCATATTGCTTACCCCTATTTCATCGATATTTTTCTTTTGAATTTTCTTTTTAATTTCGTTTTGGTTAGATTCGGTCAGCAGTTAGATTCGCTTTAAGACATTGATATATGAGTGAGGAAATCCGTGATAAATAAACGAGGAATGAAGAATCGAATGAATTCTGTTAATGATACTCTTATGTTGATAAACTTGAAAGAAAGATGTAAGTTTAATTCGCATGTAAATACAGCAAGCATAGATTTTTAGATATTCCTGTCATTGATCAGAAATTACGATCGTGGATTATTTTGATATCCTGAACAAATATTTTCGGAAGAACACTGATTGTAGTACTAAGCGTGATTCTTACAAATATTGAGACTGGAGTCTTCCAGACACGATCAATGTTTACTATTCTTTCCGAAAGACAAAAACAAACAAAAAAACACGATTTGTAATTAGATTAGGAATAATTATTAACAGTGAGTTACAAATCTGTTCGGTTTTAAGTTAATTTTTCTTAGTAGCTTTAAAATGCATTTCCATCTTTTTAGAGACATTTTTTCTATAATACAATATAATCTCTTATAGTGTTGAAAACAAAATAGTTAAAAAAAAGATTTCAAAATAATACCTGATTAAAAATATTTTTACGAACTTTAAACATCTTTGTTATAACAATGTAATAAAATATTATAAAACATTCCATTATTTTCTGTGAACACGTGCTTTAGCTAGCTACGTTTCATTATGTTAAAGACACGATGAAGACGTCAATTGTTACAAGAATTATAAAAACAATGAAAATAAAAACAAAGTAGTCTTTCTCTGTTATTTCATGAACTACTACGCAAATTAGGGGTGTGAATGAAAGCTCAACATTTCAACGTTTATTTACATTTCTATAGACACGAATAAAGTTTCATGGGGTCGCCACCCTATAGTGTGTTGTTTCAGAATTGATACCCGCAAACACGTTCAGACACGTTTCAACCTTCGGTTGGCTCGGAGCAGGTATCATGTACAAACGTGTTCAGTATTACATCGGTTTGAGATTATAATAGTTCTTTCACTGTAATTTTCTGTACATCAAAAATAAATCATACTAATAATACATAAGTTATGAGAAGTCTATATAAAACAATAAATTTAATTTTACATACAAAAATTGTTTTACAATTATACACAAAAATGTGATCCATCCGGACATCCATAAAAATGGAGACTCCGTAAGGAAATAAAATAATACGATTTTTAATACAGTTTAAAACGGTTTCTCGTTCTTGGAAGATCACTAATTTGCGTTAATTCCGGATCGCGATAAGAGGATTCCGTTCGCAGCCTCCATAAGCAGAACGAGCGTTGTTGTAAAAGAGTTTTTATCTGCTGAGGCTTTCTACAGATTGTATACAGCAAATGTTCCCGAGTCGCACATGGTTTGTTGATAAGCATTAAATGTGTTTATGGCGGCTAGATAACTCGTGCATTTTATTAATAAACCGTTAAGCACGCCGTGATTATCGTCACTCACGGTTTCGCATCTGGCTGGTTTGCTTATTATTAGCGACAGCTTTTACGTGGCTAATTATAGGCGATATTATATATCCATTGTCTCCTGCTGGCTACCTCCTTTAGAAACACGTCGTCGAGGTCATTGTCTGATCGACAACGGTCTCGCTGCCGCGCGAATCGAACCGCTCGCCTCGTCATATGTTTCTAACGACGGGATATCACCCGATCCGAACGCGCAGATTTTAATGAAACTTGGCACCGGATGTGGACCATCGAATATTCGACGTGTATCATTTTTATAGCTGGCCATATACGTGTTTTCCGGTGGTGAAAATAGCTTCGACGTTTGGGGGTGGGTAAACTTATTTTATGAAACATCTTGAAACTGTTCTCGAGTAGAAGAGTTTGCACCAGTGGAAATATTTTTTACTACGAGTGACAATAGTCATTTCTGTTGGTGAATTGCTTTAGAGGAAGAATTCCTTCCAAAAACTAATTTTTGTTTGTGTACCTCTGTAAACATTTGGAAAACGAACTAGTGTTTATATTTGCTTACTGTTTGTTAAAAAATATCTCATGAATCAGTTGTTACAATTGATTAATATAAATTTCGTAGCTGTATAATACACAATGACTACGCTTAAATATTTGCTCTGTCACTTGTAAATGATTTTAAAAATTAGAATTACATAAAATCCCAATCTCCAATTTTACATTCACTCCAACGTTCATACTAATTGACAATCGTTCATGATTGTCGATTTATATTGACAAAAATATATGTATCGAATACTTTTTTGGAGAATTTTGCTAAAAGCACATCGAAATCGATGTGTGTCAATTGGGTAACATCCCTCCTCGGTGGAATGCATTAGAGATCGTCGCGTTTCACGTTGGCAGTACCGTAACAGGCCCCCAAGTGTTCTGAGTTAGCACGGAAATTACGACGGAGTGTAGCCGGAATTTGCCTGCCTCCTTGTTTAATCCCTGTTCCCGTCGTTGCATTTTTCTGGCGAATGCTCGTGACAAAGTATTGCATTTCCGTTTCTCCAGATCTCGGTAATACGACACCGCAACATTTGCGTTGACGATTTCGCGCTGCAGGAACAAGTGTCCGCATAATTTGATGTGCGGTACTATAGGCGCACGTACATATACTAACTTATTTTCGTGGCCACGTTATATCGAGCTGACCGATTGCGATGACTTTAAGTAGTAAACAATTTTCACCTGGTGTCGAGCGAATGAGAAAACGACACGACGATCGTTTGGGAACAGAAGCGACGTTCCTTCGCGGGCTTGTTTACGCTGGCATCCTTACAGAAGGCGAACGATTTTGTTTCGAAGTGACCGATGCGCGGTCCGAAACGACGTCAACGAAAGTGTACACATACGTTGCACGGTATCGCGAGGAAAGCGTTTGGCTCAGATAATTTCCCCCTCGTTTTTTTCCCTATGTTTCTTTTTGTTCGTACCAGTCGCGATTAAATGTATCACGGACCGAACGGATGATACGGTTCACCCAACAGCCACAGTTATTATGAGAATGTTTACGGAAGGTTTTTGGAATCATAAATAATTGGGGCGATTGGAAATCAGTTTGATAATGCGGCATCGATGGTCATTGATTGCTCGGGATGTAGTTAGTCAAAGGGGACAGGTGATCCATCTACCCGTCGATTTCTTCCGATGACATGAAAACACTCGATATTCCGCCGTAAAGAACCGTTTTGGGAGTTTGATCACTGACGTTCGATTGTTTGAACAGTGCCATCTAGTTAAAGAGGACAAACATTCTTTGTGTCAACCTTATGCTTGTTTCTTATCACGAGTTTGTCGGTATGGTAGAGTAGTACCAACTTATAAAACAATAGGGAAATTATCATGGAAATGGTGGTTAAATATGAAATTCTGACGTAGTAATAAATGCCAACTATTTCTGTTTAAATAACAGGAAAAAAACTGAATATTCCTTATTGAGGGTGAAGAATTGTGTATATCGAAAAATAGAATTGAATATTAGGTATTTATAGAACAGTATCCTTCAAATATAAATAAAACTGAAGTATACTTGTAGCAAACAATGTAAATGTTAACACGTTGCGTGCCGCGTGGGGCGTATGCGCCCCACGCTGAACTTTCTGTTCAAGCCATTGGGTATTTTCATTGTAAGACGAAGAATTTATTAAAAATGTATTATGTAGTTAATTATGGGCATCTTAATACTATTGCTGCGGCGTTTATTTGATCGTGGGGTGTATACGTCCCACGCGGCGGTATTTTTTTTTACTGCGATTTGTTTTAACGTTAAAAAATTCGGTTCCCAATCGGCAAGAAACTGTACTGTAAAAGTTGCAACATTCTGTAATAGTTGTGTGGATAAACCACATTTATGTTTGCCATGTTTTAACAAAGTTCACCGTAACATCCCTTCCTGATTATATACAAACTTGTCACATAAATATAATATTAAATATATTTCAACTGAAATGTTTTATTCTAAACTAATATAGACATCATAAAAAAATATTATGTGCGAGGATGCGACTCGCTCGGTAGAGTAATATTCAGCCAGGTATTTGTTAAACTAATTCGTAGAAAAATAAATTTATTGCTTTGTTGTGTTATGCATCTTAAAGTATACACCTTTTCCTTGATAGTTACGATTTTTGCGTTATTTTAATCATTGTAAGGCATACTCCAGAAACAAAACAATACAAGTGTAAAGCGTGGGGCGTACGTGTAGAAATATTAAGGCTAGGCTAGATGTAAAGATTTAAATTTCTCCTTAAATTAGTTCTAACCCAAGTTTAATCCAAATGATATCTGATAATTAACCCTGCTGCAATTTTCAGTTTAAGGTTACTAATTCTAAGTCTTGTTATACTTTCCCCGAATTCAGAAATAGCCTTGAAAAAATGAGAACATGACTAAATCGAAAAAGATTAGACACTGCGGAGACGAAATACTGTTAAAAAAAAACGTGATGGGTCGGAGAAAACTTAAAGAACGCAGCAGGGTTAAAACTTATAACTCAAGCATATATCCCCTGCGGTTAACTAGAGGCAAGGTTTCGTCATTTTTTCATTTTAGTTTCGTTTGTATCTTGTTTTCTTTTTGTTGTATCCAGAACAAGAGAAATAGAATACTAAAATGAAAAGGAACGAATTCAACACACTATATAACTCAGAAATGAGCTGATCAGTTCGATATATGTAAGCGTCGGGGGTTAATTCCACGTGTTGCTTGGTTTCAGATGAAAATTGAAACATCCCAGGACATGACGTAAATGCCATGGCTCATAAATCAAGGGGAAACGGCACAATGAAGAAGAATCTCGCGCCGTAGTCTCACCACCTGCGATGTTAGTCACACAGACACCCTCCTCGATGGACAACCCGCCGAATATGATGTCGGTAGTCGAGGAGGAGGCGAACGTCGATATTGATGACGCGTTTCCACCGCACGTCGACACGACCAACATCGTGATACAGCCGGAGTCACCTACTAGCAAGAAACAAACGCTAAAGACCTTCAACGAGGTCAACGCGCTCCTCCAAGCCGGCAGAAAAAGGGAGGTTAAGTTGATCATAAGGGAGAATGCGTGGCCATTGAACAACGGAATTAGGACGCAGCTCTGGCCAGCCCTTTGTAGTCAACATGCACACGGCAAGAACATGCTGGACGGTTTCTATTGGGATATGGTCAATCAAGTGTTTGGGACTACAGGTGTGTTTTCTTATACTATCCACAGATCTGCCAAATATTAGTCCAGAACAGTGGTTCTCAAAGTAGACGTACTAAAACGACCTAGGAAGTCGGTAGTAACCTCGTATAGCAACTTCTTTTTATTTGTTTGCTTAACGAAAATAGATTTTCGGAGATTTTTTAAAGAAAGCTTTAGCTCATATAATATTCTAATTCTATGTAAATAATTTTTCATATGTATATAATAATAAAATTGAAGTATTTTTATTTTTTACTAATTCGTTTTAATGATTACTTACTTAAATAATCATAACCTACGAATAAATATTATTTTGTACAAAAGATAATATAAACGTTCTGAAATCAATGAACCCGTGAACAGTAACAGATACATGTATGTGCGGACAATTGGTTTCGAAGTCGATCTCATGCTGATTTCAAAGGCCAACGAGACACCTGCTTAGACGGAGTATAACAAAAATGCAGACTGTTTGTTTTACCAGAGATAAGAGATCGGAAGTTCCAACGTATAAGCTTTCTTGAACCTATAAATCTAAACAATTCTATACGCGATGCTTCGCCTCCGTCTCGCTTGGGCTACACTCTCAGAGGGTTAACTGTTCACGAGTTATTCTTACGACTTTTAGGTAAACCTTCAAATCAGTTTCTCTGAGCGGTGTCTTTCAATTGTGAGCATTTAACAGTGCTCTACTGTATACGATATATCGATTATAGTGTTCTCATTTGTCTTTTGCAGTTTATTTGAGACTTAATACATTTTTTATCAAAATCTTTTATAAAGATAATTTAAGTTTAACTAGAGTCCCGTTGCTATGTTAAGTCACTATGTAACTTTTACAATTGTTGACCCTTAGAGAATTTTTGCACATTCCTATTTTAAAAGAATCATCCCTTTTTTTTAATTTGAAAAATGTGAATACTCTTTTTGAATGAAATGTTATTCGTTAATATTCAATTAAAATTACAAAACCACATTTGGAACAACATATTTTTACATTCCACTGCGACAAAGTTTTTTCAAGTTCAGTGGTAGAATTATAAAACTATAAATCTTTAGACTCCCAAAATTAAAAGCGATGAAAGTGAGTCATGTTTATTCTCCTTCTTCTTTTGCATAAATTCATCTAGGACAAATGTGTTGAAATGTGTTTATCGTTGAATGTCCAAGTGTTTCCAACAAAAACGGATGTTTTAATGTATTTAGACAGATGAATCTAATTCTTCTTAGTTGTGTATTTACCGAAGTGCTGACGGTCAGGATTATATATGTTTACAGAACTGCCGGAAAAATCAATCATGTTACCGCCGTTTGTGGATAGCACTCATTGCCTGTCGTACAACCTGACAAGAAAAGGCAGGAGTGTTGCAGACAGGGTTGTATCTGTGCTAGGATACGCTTGCCCGGATATAACCTACAGTCCCTCTCTCTACCCAATTACGGCGCTTCTTCTTCACTTTATGCCAGGTGGGTATAAATAAACAGGTTGTCCGGACGCGACGCTTCTTAGACGGTCCATTTGTTTGAAGTACAATGGAAATTCACATCGCGGTCCTTTACGTCCGATTCTCCGTCCGATCGCATAAATGAAGATGTAGACACGCGGTTGGATACCGTCCCAGTTATTAATAACCCAAAATCTGAATATTCACAAAATACGTTTTCTTGCAGAGGAGGAATGTTATCATTGTATGGCTAACCTGGTTGCTGCTAAAGACAAGATGTTCATTACGCAAACGAAGCTTCTCTACGAAGTTACCTGGAAAACTGTAGAGCAAATCACCAAAAAACACGTGGTACGTTTGGTTGTTGCTTTGAAACGATGAGTCATCGTGAAACTACTTGAATATGATTCACCTGAAATGATCCTCATTTGCTTGTAGATGTAAAGTATATGTTATAAATGTTTCCACATTTGTCAACTGTCTTTTATAGCTGAAAATGAATAGTAAACAGCTTTGACTACATAGTTTTACATAAAAGTATAATCATAATTTTAACATATTTATATATAATATTGCTGATTACTATTATTGTATTGTTATTAATATTATGATTCATATAAATATTTATGTCAATTTTTTCAAAACACTTTTATATTTCCCTTCTATGTGATGCAAAACTCATCTAAGCATAAAAATATGTTTAAGTAATTTCTAATTAAGGTATAATTATTTGAATATATATTATATATTGAATATATATGAATGTAAAAGACTATTTAAGGTCAACAAAGTATTGGGAAAAGGATATATGAAAATAAGAGTGTTGAAGCTCTGAAAAATGTTATTGTTGTAAAATATTGTTATTTATACTTTTCATTTCAGAAATCAGCTGCAGTACATTTAGCCAGACATTGTTCAGGGTCAAGGGCAGAAAGAATTTATATGGATTGGATTTGGTGGATTCTACAGCTTCTTCCTTTCCAACATCTAGTCAGGGTTATGGACTGTTTCCTTCATGAAGGCATTAAGGTCAGTATTTATAGCACTCATAGGAATAAAATTCAAAGCATTCAGATTTTTATTGCATCTTCTTATGGCACATTGAAAAAGTTTGGCTTCTGTTCAAGAAAGTGAAGCAAATTGCATATATAATATGAAATGCCTTTCCAGGAATAGTATGAATGTAAATTTTTAGTATTGACCATATGTCAAGTAACAAATTGGTTTTAGAACACATTTATTGAATTTAATATACATAATTTCTTATAAACAGTAATTAAAATTAATCTTCTTATTTTCGTCTATGAATTACGCATTTTATTTCTTATTATGTTTTAGGTCTTCTATCGAGTAGCAATGGCTATAGTTTTATTATTCTACAAGCATTCATCCTTGCAGAACTCTGAATGGATGAATGAGATTTCTAAGAACGGTATTGACGCCGCTTTGTCGAAATTTTGCAGGCAAATACCGGTGAGTAAGAGGATTGAAATGTTCAGTAGTATTAGTAGAACCGGAAACGGAAACGGAAGCGTAATCACATTTGAATTTGCAGGTAACGCCGGCCAAATTTTTACGTACCGCGTTTGGGATACGTGGACTTAGCTCAGCTTACATATCAAGGGTATTTGTGCGCACAGAAATGGCTCTTAAGAGTAGAAGCGTTTTAACGGGATCCAGATCGTTGGCTCGTTCACGATCCACGGACAATCTACCAACGAGTCAGTCTCAAGTCAACATTCAGATGATGTCGCACACACTCACGATACGAGAAGTACGTTACCCGTATACCTATTTTTACCAAGACGGTGTGGATCACCGAATTACGGAAAAACTGATTCTTACAAGTGGATTTACGTACATGAAACAAATTATATTCGATTTGAATGTTACGCCCTGCGGTGGAATCTTCAAAATTATTCTGTTGATTTTATAACCAAGGGTTCCATTAGTTTTCGATATTGGCATGTTACCGATGGTGTTATCCTGTTTACCTTCGCATTATAAGATTATAATACTGTATATATATATATGTGAGCCGATTATTTTTCTTATGCATTATTTTAATGTTCAGAATGGTTATTTTCTTATTTGCGAGATATGTTGCAGGATTGAAGGTTTAGTATATTATTAATACCTTTATATTAAGATAATAATGTAGACGATACAAAGTTTGTCGTTTAAACGTAGTTTCTTAGGGTAAACGACAGCCGTGCTATGCGAAAGCTGTTCAATTATTCACTTTGTTTTCAGAAAGAGTGTGAAGACACATACAAAGACAGGGTATCGTATAATTATCTTTTTGGGAAATGTGTTGTTAGTTTCATGTGCTCTGCCCTCTGTTCCTGAACTACTACCTGTTTACATTCATTCATACTCACCCTTTGTTACACTTATCGTGCCAGCTTTATCGCTGTTACCGTCTATCCACTTGCAGTTACTGCCTTTTCGATTAATAGAATAACAAAGATTTCTTCTATTACAAAATTCATTATCTGTTCATCAGATCTTCACTGGCTTTCAGTGTTCTGCAAGTACGACACATAAATCGTCATAATAATACTAAAGACGGTATACCATATTGGTATATATTTTTTCCAAAAAGAATGTTGATGTTCAGAGTATAGATGGTGACTGTTACTGGTGAGCTGCAAGAGATGTTTGCTTCTCATTAATTAATGGGACGAACTTATCTTTTGAAGAAATTAGGGGAAACCCCTTGAGAACGTTTAAACATGAAATCAGTCTCAATCAGCGAACGTAGAGCGCTTCCATAAACTTCGTCTGTCGCAGTTCTTTTGTTTAAATAATTTCGTTGCAATAGCTGCGGAACAGACAAAACTGGACGGTGTAGCGACGCATTTTTTTAATTTTGTACTAATTATTTTTTATGCTTTCTTAGCATACCGATACGTCATTTTGTTTTCCAAGTTATATGTTGATTACACTGGTTAAAAGTGAGTTGAGTATTCATCTACTTTACATAGTGCCGCAAAATTGTATTAAAACTTGAAAATTATTGCTGGCCGTTTTCTTGTACGCTCTGTGTTTCCGGTGGTCTTAACCAGTGTTTCGTATTAATATATTTCTCGTTGAGAAAAACGAGTGAAAGCCGTATGACAATCATAATTGACGGTTCTATGTTGTCTTGTGTCATGCTGCGTTACTGGAATGATGATGGATTTAATGGTGATGGGTGTAGGGTGCACACAGTCCTGGACCGCGTGCTCTGTCAATGGGCGTTTATCCCATACAAAGCATATGCTCCCAGATTCTAGACATGCCTGATGTAAGTACTTAACGGGCGTCCGTTAAATCAAAGTACCGCAATAGCAGAGTTTTCTGTAGTATGCTGGTCGCCTCTCTGTGGCATGTCGGTATTGTCGTTATCGGTGTAAATACAATCGCCTTGAAGTATATATTGTTGGATAGTCTACAATATTCCCATCTTTGCTATTATCACAAAGATAATAGTTAAAGCGTGTATAATACGGTCACATTGGTTGTATAGTGGCAATCGTTCACACGTTCTTCTGTATTGCAAAATGGAGTTGGACTGTCGTAAACGAAACTTTATCTATCTTCCTTTTGGAAGTAACAAGCACATCAGTCAATTATGGATTAAGTTGTTGTTACAGCTTTGTAGTCATGGTTTCGTTATTACTTCTGTTGTACTTCTTTTTGCCTAAGGTTTCATATCTTGCAGTTTATGCATTGAACTGAATGGTGTATAATTTGATTTACATTGATTTAGAGCAATGCACCGCTTCGTGGCCCATTAAACGTATCCAGGCTCCAAGTTTTATCACCTTACGCTATTAACTTAGCATGAATTCTTTTTGTTCTATTTACGCATTCATGATGGCACTATGGAATCCCTTCCACCAAACCTTGATTAATTTGTGTTGTAATATTTATCCGAATGTCTGATCATTTTTTTTGACAATGTGATCAGTGTATAATACCAGTAACAAGTAGTGAAGCAATGTCCTTGACTTTAAATAATTTGAGTATTGTTACAGATGCGTGCAATTATAGATATAATATAGATATATATGTTGTTGTATATATTTAATATCAGCCGATCTTTTGTTATATCATCTGCATTATATCATCTATTTCCCAAGTCACAATCTTAATTCATTTGAAATTGAACTTTATTCGTGTAGCATATCACTTTTATATTTGTATGATGCTATTGCATTTTTGCATGGAGAATGTTTTTTTCATTTTATATAAATATATTTAGTTTATTTAGCATTTGCTAGAGTTTATAATATTTTCTTTATTACTAAACTACGGAACTTTATGCATTTATGCCGTTTAAAAATCCTTATAAAATTATAAAATGCACTTACTTTCACTTTGTTCACACTATTCATAAAGCAAATTTAATTTCACTTGTCACCAGATTTTTTAAATTTATCTATAAAAATATAAACATGCATAAACATCCACAGTTCACTTATTATATTATTGGCAAGAAACATGTAAAAATTAATTCAATATATATATGTGTTAATAAGAGTAATAGTAACAGAGGAAAATATATATATATATGTGTGTTAATAAGAGTAATAGTAACAGAGGGAAAATGATATCTAAGTGAAATAATTAATCCAAAAGAATGGACGAAACGTGATTGAATATTTCATATAAGCTGTCAAATAAAACTATTCAAAATAGTTGACATCAAAAACTTCTATGCAGATTTTTTATATTTATAAGCTTCTCAGTCACCATATTTTTAATTTACTTTTTCAGTCAAGCGCATGATTCGCTGCTGTGATTTAGTTTGCTGTATTCTTGAAGGAATAGAAAATTACTGGAAACTAATGTTTGCACAGTCACGAATATTAATCCTAATTTTTATATTACATTAATTTCCCGTTTATTCTGTGATAGTTATTCACATTGTGGTCCTGGCTGCCGATGCGGATTACCATGTACCAACCAATACTACTGTACACAACAGAAGAACATGGTTGTTCGTTAACGACGTTTTACGTAAGAGTAGAACAACACGAACCAACCCTGTTAATGATAAAGACCTGTAACAATGAAGTAAATATTTCTTTGCGTTGTAATATTTTTCTACTCTTTGAATGTACTTATAAATAATCATCCTGATATTTCTTGTTAGGTGTTTGGTGCCTACTGCTCTACAAGATGGTGTGAGCGTAATTTGAAAAATGATAAAGGACAAAGACAAGCCTACTTCGGGACGGGTGAAACATTTTTGTTCAGTTTATATCCTGAACGAGCAAAATATCCTTGGATAGGAATGGATTCTTCGCACAATGATTCCAAGGTCCATCATTCAGCTGAGCTGTTCATGGCAGCAGATTCTAAAATGATAACAATTGGCGGCGGGTAATTTTCATTTTATATTGTATAAAATATGTTTCTGATCGAACATATTATTATAAAACTATTTATGATTTGTTTTTCCTGTTTAGAGATGGGCAAGCCATATGGATGGACGAAAACATCAGATTCGGTAAGACAGATCGGTGCTCTACATTCAACAACCCACCTCTTTGTGCTAGCGGCGACTTTGAGATTAGGGTACTAGAAGTATACGGTTTCGCTGGTGCTTGAGGAGAATGCAAGTCTTTGCATTACGACGTATTGATTTATTTAATTCCCTACTGCCATTTAGTGACTCTGTTTCTATATATACAGAGTTGTATACATTATATACAAGTATCTTCGTGTATGTGGAAACGTTAACGCATCGACATTAAACGCGGTATTGTCGTAATGCATCCTCAATCGCTTGCGGAGAACTAGTATTACATGTGCATGTTTCGTTGCTGAGGCGCTAAAGAAGGTTCTGTACCGAATGAGATTACGTAGACTTATGTCTCTTTCGTTTTATGAAGCTTCCTGTTCGATTATTTGTCTCAATGTTTGCAAAACAAAAATGACTATGCGATTCTTGTATTCATTGTGTCGTGGATTTCTTATTATATTAAGCGTAACGATAGAACGGCTACTGACGCGTAAACATAGTCTGCGACACACTGAATCTTGACAATAATCGACATTGAGACGAATCCTCAGTTGTGCGCAACTTTGCTACCCCAAATGTACATATGTATAAAACGATTGGTTATTTACGTGAATACTTAATATTCATTGGACTAGACGCTGTCATTATGTATTTGTATATATACGTGCATATATGCAGAGAGAGTCTCTCAAGATCGAAATTGCGAATATCTTCATCGTTCTTTTGGAAGGGACACAACTTTTTAATCTTAGGTGACTCTCCCCGTATATTACCATATATCGCAAGATTATTTCATTAAATTTATTGTTAATTATACAGTTTTGTCAGAAATGCTCGTATATATGTGTTAACATCTTGTAGTGTTTATTACTTTAGTATTGTTATGTCTAGCTTTAATCAGTTGTTAAATACAAAACGCGAGAGAACCGAAGGGAAAAATACTGTTTATATATACATATATATATATATAATATATATACATATATGTTACATATTGTGTATGTCACGCGTTACCTGTGTATGTGTGTATATATAGCATATACAGACGTGTACGTTAATCTTATATATTTTCCTATAAATATTAGAAATAATGCCCCTTGCGCAACCAGATTCACTACACTGGCAGATCATTCATACGCATATACATATATACTCGATAAAAGTAATCGTGATCGACTGTGGAAAGACATTCGAGGAAAATGGCAGGGGGCGAATGGTACTTCGAAACAACGATATCTTTGTTTTTTCTTTCCCTTTTTTTTTATAATTTCTCGGTGGTGATTTCGTCGGAAAGATTTTGCTAAAACCGGTTACGAAGCCATAATTTTCACTAGTAGTACTTTAAGAATTTGTATACTTTAATATAGCATACGTAATTCTTGTTGATAGTGAACCAAGTCTAGTACAGACAGAACTAAGTACATGTATATTTCCATGCGTAAGCGTTCTCTCTTTTCTGCTTTCTTTTTTTCTTTTAGACACACTTCGGGCATTCTGAAGAAGCGTATTAGGGTGTTACTGTCGGTTATATATCCTTCGTCTCTCTTTGTGATCAAATCTGTATCGATATTATACCGGTACACGATTAACTCTTAGAGTACCTGCTTCTGTGTTTAGTTTCTTGTTGATTTATTTCTTTTATATTATTCGAGAGTGAAAGGACGCGAGGAAGACTGGAATCGAGCGTGAGTGAATCTAAACGTATCTCTATTTAGATTCCTTGGTTGTGATGTAGAAGTGGCTGGCACCACTTTTGTCCGAGCGACAATACGTACTAGTTATAAATGTTTGCGTAGGAGGATCATGTATCTTTCACCCCCCGTCACTTTATCAGCAATTACAGAACAACACGATACGGAATAGGTTACGTTGTTCCGAACACGAACGTCACATGTTATACAAAGTGTCCCATAGCCGTTTATACAATTTAAAAACATATGAAGACTAAGATAAAAAAAAAGTTGTACAATGAAATTTCGAATAAGACGCGTTTCACTTGTAAGGGAATCGAGTTTCTATAATTTACTTGCCGAATATTTTAACTACCTATATCGTATACAGTAGATACTCAAATTTAACATTCTTCGAATGAAATATTCTTCCATAGAAATTTTATTCTACATTTTCGACACACTTTTTCATGTAGAGTACCCGTTAGGTACAACTCAACCGTTATTTTAGTATCGAAATATGAAAAAAAGATTTCTGAAAATAGAGCCTAAGGGTCGCTCCATGTACCGATTAATTATACTTATGATTTTTACTGACCTAGGTAGATGGTTCGAGTCGATCGGTTCTTCGTATCATCTTATACGGTATTTACAGGCATAAACACTTGAATGGACGAACAATGTAACGAAGTACAATCAATATTACACATTTACGGCGCTACTGAACTCAAATTCTAAATGTAATAAAGTTGTATCGAACTTAGCAGTTGAACCCTTTCCCGACTTATACGTACGTTTGTTATAATGTTGTGTCGCAACACCTACGAGTTGTGTGTAGCGTAGTGAATATGTATGAACAGGTCGAATGTAATTACGACAATTTACATTCGATTTGTCTTTGTTCCAACGACTTTTAAATCCTGCGAAATTAAGAGAGGGAAAAAGGGGAACACTGCTGATCTCACTGAGGAGCCAAAGTAGTATAGCGTGTTAAATGTAGCCGTTTCACACTGTGGCAAGCCTGTATCGGAAGAATAACCGAAGTCAGATGTTTCGCGTATGCTCTTCAACCGCGAAAAATATCTTTTCCGACGGTACTTTATTATTGTCAAAGGGACTCGTAATGTTACGCGAGTATGATTACATGGATTGACGCTACGAAAACAACAGGAGTCGAGAATACAATGAAACAGACCTGTGAACGGTTCGAGAAAGAGAAGGTGCATTTCGTAGGATGCGAGGATAGTCAAAGAAGAGGAGATCCACGTGCTTAAAATTCAATGGAAATTAAATTATTTCATTATTTAATTTATGCTGCATTAAATTCATCCGCTATTGTAAGCTTGTTGCTATAGAATCGAACCATTTCGTTTTCATGCCACCGTCCTCTTTCTGACTACCGCAGGACGCACTTATCAAAAATATTTCACGAACAAGTGGTTGCGAACGCTGTTGATATAAACGATAATTTTTTGTGGAACTATAGTCGTGTGATAACTGAAAATGGAATGAGTGAATATTTATTTATTGTGTATTCATAATCGAGCGAAAGGTGATGTGCTGAAAATGGAAAGTATTATTGTTTAAAGTTTCTAATGTAGCACAGCATAACATAAATGTACACTAGAAAATAATATATATATGTATATATATATGTGTATATATATATATATATATATATATATATATACATATATATATATGTGTGTGTGTGTATATAATATATAATATATCCATATAAACTACGAAAAAATGAAAATAAACGTAATTGAATGGAGTGTTTTCAAGCTTTCCGCAATGTTGTTATGCTATATTACGTTATATATATACATATACACACCTATATAAAATAATATGTAATATATATTTATATATATAATGTAATATATACGTATATATATAATGTAAGTTGTACCGTTTCCGGAAACAAATTGTTGCGTCTCGATGCTACTTTATCATATCATCGTTGTGAATAGAATATTGTTATACACAAATCTATTGTCCCGTTTCATCCTTCTATTCTAAGAAGAATATCTCATGTGACATTCTTAACATACACATACATTGCATGTGACCCTAAGAGCCGATATGTGAAAGTAAATTATAATGTAAAATTAATTTAGGCGTATTGTGAAACTGAAATCCTTGGAATGAATAACACTATTGAAATTGCCACCAATAAAAACAAATTTTTCTTCCATTTTTTATTAGTTGATTTGTATATTTGAATGACCAATAAGTAAAATGAAGTAAGACATTTTTTTAGTGCAATAATCTTCTTAATTAATATTTTTTTAATCCATTGGACCAAAATTTTATAAATTTAGAGTTGTTAATAGGAATTGAATTACCTATGTACGTCATTTTTGCTACTGGTATTTAACCCAACTTAGCGACAACAAATGAATATGATGCGTACCTTCAAACGACGGGAATAATTATTTATTGAATATAGTGCTATAAAAATACAATTTTCATTAATTCATGATAGTAATCTATTTTTATGCTGTATACTTATACAATAAATTATGTAGCTCCAAAAGCAAAGGTATAATAAAATAATACTGTGATAGTTAATAATTTAAATAATTCCTAGGATCGTTGTGCCATAAATACACCTACATCATTACATTAAACAAAATCAGCTATAAACTTTTGATACATAAATAATTGAAATTTTAATGTAACAGAAACTATTTAATATTTACCGAAATTGATATTCTATTACAGTGTATTTAATATTCATTGAAGTTTTATTTTAACATGAGTTGAATTTAATATTCACCGTTTATATACTATTACCTTTTATTTAACTCGAACAAGTAATGGAAGATGAAAATAGACGAATTCGAGAATTTTCCTATTTGATCGAATAAAAAAAAGTACATACACATTCCACGATAGTTCATTCGGTTTCCATTTATTTTATTCATTTTAATTCTAACCTGATGAATCATTACTTTTTTCTTAGATCAATATTATCAGAAAAACAGTATAACAGAATGAAAAGAGATCAATTTTATAATATATATTTCTATTATGTGTGCACGATAATTTACTATCCTTATCATTCGTATCTTTATTTAATTTACGTTAACAAACATGGTATCAACATGTATGCCGGACATACGTAATTTACATTTAAATATAGGCATAGAAATGTTTAACAGGTTGAGCGTGGAGCCGATTTTCTTCTGCCTTTCGTTCAGGTGGTAGAGAGCAATTGCACAGTCTGAATACAATGATCATTTGAGCTATGGTTCTTTACTTACAATGTTTTAATTAAACTTCATTAAAATTACAACATTTATTGCTTAACCTTGATACTGCTGGTGTCACGCTCCGATGTCGCCCAAACGAAAAGTTCGCTGTCAGTCCCCAGGGATCGACGTCGCGCTCAATGTGTTAACCCTTTGCACTTGAGAAGTGACTCTCAGTCACTAGTTATAGTGACGTTAATATTGACTTGTGTATAAAGCACCGGTGTGTGAGATATTGGGATAAGAAAGCTTTGTTTCTAAATTTATTTGTGACTTCTCTTTGAGTTCATTTCAAAAAATATCGTCTTTGTCTAGGTAGAAAATGTTAAGTATTTCTAGCGGAATACTTCCGAGTATAAAGGGTTAATATACCGTTCGTGACCTACAGGAAACCTTCTTGAGGACGGTTTGAGGAGTTTCTCAAAGGGGCACGAAGCTGGTACAGCACAAACAGCAGGATTGTTGATTCTAGGATTTTATTTTTCCTTTTGAAATTCAGAACAGAGTTAAACGTTTTCTTCATATAATAAATCTAAATGTTATAATTAATTTTTCATTGTCAAATATTTAATAAATACTTAATTAATAACACAGAATAGTCATGTCTAATCTATTAAAAATCCGTTAAGGTAATAATTAAAAAAAAAATAATTTTTAAAAATTCCACTTTCTTACCCCGGATTTGTGACGTCACATAGTGGGAAATCGCTCAAACTTCTAGCCAAATAGTATCTACTTGTTTCCGCTAAGTGGCGCCACGAAATTAACTATGTGGCGTGTTTCTTTATTCAATATATTTATTTACAATGTTCACTAAATTATAATGTTGAAATACTTTTATCGACCAACTTCTACAATGGCCTGTTTCTAACTGACTGTATACAAAAAGAATATCAGGGATATTAACAAAAGAATTTTAAAATGTATAGTTAAACAATTTCTAATATCAAACAGTAATTGACTTTATTCTAGAATCTACATTACCGACACAGTGGCTACAAATAATGTGGCGCATTCCTGTCGATGTAGTAGAAAACTTCTTAATCAATCTTATTGAGTTATTGTATTTACTGATTGTTATGTTTTTCGTTGCTAACATTGTTAATTTTTATAATATGCTTCCCAGTTATTGTGAACTTTTATTCAATGCATTAAAAGTTCTTCAAAGAGACGAGACGTGTTTTATCTTCTTACTGTAACCGTAATGTTACATATAGATTATAAATTACCAATTAAGCTATACTAATTAGTGAAGACCTAGTGAAGACCTTTTTCTTATTTCAAAATTTGAGTGTCATATTTTTAAGAATTCTAATTAAAAGGATGAAAAATACATCGCTAAGTACATAGTGATAGTAGCACGATAGTAATTAATTTGTAAAACAGAAGTATGTGCTAGTAACTTGAGCATTTCGACATAGATGGCGCTGAGTTAGTAGCAAATCGGTGAATTTTGAATTCAAAAAGATATCCTTTGGTAAGCAATGAGCGTAGTGAACAGTCTATACGATTAAGTAAAAAATATACGCTAATCATTGCAATCGACAAAAAATTAAGTTTTTCAATTGGAAGTCATGGTCGATCGTTAGCATCATATCACCGACAAGAAAATATACTAAACATCCAATGTAAATTTTTATCACACGGTCGGGAGTTATGTGACCATTTCACCAATCTCGCGTCACTTGCAATGTTACCATCAAAGTACAAATAAATAGAAATAAATAAATTAAAAAACGTATTCTATTATTATTTTCTGGCCACAATATTAAATTCTTCACATCATCGAACATGAAGTTCTATAAGATGTTTAGTTTATCATGTTTAATGTCGGTGGTTATATTTTGAATTTCTTTGTCAGTAAAGTAGTTTGGGTCATGAAAGTGAATAAGGTATGGCAGTCTGATCTTATGTTTTGTTTATGTCTGTACTGTTTGCAAGCTATAAGACAGTCCATATGATCGCAACTATCCAAAACTTTGGAGCTGGAGCAGTAACTTGCCGGTTTCCTGTTTTTAAGGGTATTTATCGAACATTACTGAATAATTGCTTCTTTCGTGTTTAGTTTTATAAAATTTGGATATTAATTGATGTAATGCTTCAAATGTTCTCTATATAAATCTTTTTGATACAATGTTTTTTTATATTGCAATGTTTATAGGTTATGTTGACATGTCTAACCAACTGAAATATTTGTTAATATGGTATATTTCAGCAGTTCTGTTGAACAGTAGACGTTTCGCTGCAATGTCTGAATCATTAAACAAAGTGCCAGCTGTGGATATCGATGGCCATGGAAGATTCAAGTATATTTTAATTAATGTGCACGATGAAACTAGCAATGACAGCAAAACTATTGTCAGGGGTTATGCCAGGGCATCTTGGCATGGTAAGTCAATTAAGTATAATTCTCTTATTCATATATGTTTACTTTATATTCTCAGTTTCATATTAATTTGGCTTAAACATTATTTGAAACTTTCATGAATTTCTATGAATTATTTTCATATTTACAATAGTTTGGTAGGTTTTGGGAATGAAAATGTTGAAATCAAGGTCCAGTTGTACGCTTGAATAAAATAAAGTCACAACAGGAATTTATATTTTACAGAAAATTTCTGTTTAATAGTAAATCATTTAGAAGCCTTACAGCATTAGGCGACTGTTCCACACATACTCTTATGCAATCACATGCGAATAATTTACTATTTACAGTAATAAAGATACAGTCTGTACAGACACAGTTTGTGCATACACAGTTCAGGCATTCATTAAGATAAAAGATTCCACTGGGTTGCTTTGGAACCTACAAAGTACAATGACTTACTAGGTACTTAAGTTCAATTACACAGAACATTCACATTAGAAGGAATAGAAACCAAGCCTAGAAATACGAGATATTCATCGTCTAAAAAAATAGATTTCAAATCTTTTCCTTGTCGGTTTACAATTGACTCGCAAAGTGTATGCGTATATCTGTGTGTTTGTGTTCAGATGAATACATTATACAGTGCATGATCCAGGGTTGAGAACAATCGGGAGGGCAGTATAACTTTCATCGTAGGAATGTCGTGATTAGGAACTGCATGAGTCGCGTGATGAGTTCTGTTCATTGGCAATAATGGGAATGTCTCTTACATGGTATGGTATCCATCGAAATATACATTTTATAAAGAATAAAGTCCCAACGAATTTTCCCTCTCCCTCATTGACGCGGGAAGGAAAAGCTATACAGGGTGTTTCAAAAATACGTGTCACGGCGTGATTCTAAACCTTTCTTCCGATAGAAAAGGATGTAAGAAAGTGCTTACAAAATTCATTCTCACCTTGAAAAAAGGTGTTACAATTTTATATTATTACATTCTTGCACAAATTTCAATCCTTTTTCCCAGGATGAGTCATGCGACCACTCCTACATTCTTTTTCATCGAATAAAAGCTGTAGAATCACACCCTGGTGGTCGTGACATATATTTTTGAAACATCCTGTACATGCATCTCATCTCCAACTCTTGATAAAATCGCCTAGCATCCGAAAGACACGAATCACAAGAACTGTCCGATCCCTATTCAATTTCCTCCTCGACACCGAACATGATTTTGTTTAGCTCCACCTAAGACTCTACCAAACTTCGTCACCTTTTACAGATTACGGTTAAAAAACGGATCAATCTTTTAAAGTCGTTCTTTCCTTTTTAATTTTTCTCTGGTCCTTTACTAAGAGGCCCTTCTGAAGCAGCACCAAGCCCTGTGTATATTGAATCCCAGCTTGCAGTTCTTGTGGTTCGAGGTCTTCACGTTCCTCGTCGCGCTGTTGCTCCTCGTCGACGATCGTGTCGCATCGCTGGTTTGCACCTGCCCTCAGGTGCTGTCCCCCTCATCGCAGTGTTCTATCAGGTCCACGTCTATATCTCTCAGCTCCTTCGACTTCTCTTTGATGGGTTCCAGCTTGCTGCCCTTATATCTGTGACCGTTGTCCTCGTGTCTCTCCAAACATTCTTCAGCGCCCGTCTTCCCTGAAAGTTTGCCCGGCTCTCTGATCGGTGATGGGAAGCCGATCAGGTCCGGGTCTGTGTTGCTGTGCATTAATGTGAACGGCAGCTTCAGGGACACCTCCCCGCCCATCCCCGAGATTAGCAGCTTCACCTGTGGAAAATCATCGCGTGAATCGAATTAATCGAGTCAGGGTACGCTATTCTTAGCCCTGGACATAGGGGTTCAGTTAGGCTACCCTGTCCACAGCTTTCTGCGATGGTGTTTAGTCTTACGGCAGTTTGCGTTGATTTTAGTGCTATAACTTTTTAGTTGGTTCGTGGAACTATAGTACGATGAGTCGAGTGGTGTGAAATAAATGTTGCTTTATTAGTTATGTTTTGTAGATAGAGATACTACAAAATTCACTGAATCTCGAAATATGAAACGTTTTATAACCTTTTGAAGATGAATGTCGCCGTGTTGACATCGTATGTAGTATACAAAGTTAAAAAATAAATAAATTAGCTATTTAAATAACAAAATATTGGTACATAGTTTTTGCCTTTTCTGATATTCAAAAGTTTAACGAATAATTTAGCAATTTTTGGCGGAGGTTCCGAATGTTTTAAAAAAATCTTCATCGGCTAAGAGGGATTATTGATGGAACAGAATGGAAGTCTGTTACGTAAAGATGTAATCCAGTTTTCCAGGAACTTCCAGCACGATAACATTTACATCGCGATTCATTAACATTATGAGTTCGCGTTTTATTGTGTAATGGGTACCTGATCGCCAGCATCAGATAAGCGTTTGGCAACGGACACACCTGGCACAGTGGCTACAGCTTCTGTGTCTGTGAGCTAATACCTCGGCTCGTTAACGAACACGGTAGCATTATAAAATAAGAGTCGGGTTTCCCGGCAACCGGACATTATAACCGAACAAAGCGACTCATGGAACAACTCTTAAATCACGTTTATTCCTGCGGGGTTGCGAAAGAACAGAGTTTACTGAAGAAAAAGGAAGAATTGTAAAGAGAGTAGTCGCTGACTGACTTGGTATAAAGGCCAGGGAGATAAATCTTGCACTTTATCCTATTGTTCCCAGAAAAATAGCTGTCCATTTAGATCTTGGAAATTATAGTTTCAGAAGCAAACAATTAAAATACATATTCGTGCATCAATTGAAATCGACGTAAACATTTACTAAATAATATTTATAAGATTTCGTACACGTTAAATTGACCTAGCGTTAACCCCTATCCCTATAATATATTTCTTAACCATGATTGATACAATTACTTTATCATTAATAACATAATTTATTAGGAGAAGAAAGAATTTTAATGTTTCTTCTATGTTTATGTTTACTCCAAAGGTTAACGATTGATAATAGAAAAGTAATATTTAATTTATAATTGAAGAAAATGAATAACACTTAGATTTATCAAATTCAGTTGAAAATTTTCATCACGAGTTTGACACGATATTGTAGGTCAAGGGGTTAATAATAGATGCATGCCAGTGTTAACGTTAGTTTTTGAGCACACTTGACTCTCTGTATTACCTTTACATAATAAGACACGTATATCGCGAAAACGTTCCTGTCGTCTGGCCCGTTTCCAGGGCACACGACTGTCGAGGCCAGAGTCGCACCCGCCTTCGTGTAACTGTCCTCCAACGCGATCCAGTTTTTTGTCGACCCTTTGATAGGTCTGAGCGTGTAGTTTCTTTTCATCGAAGCTCCTGGCCCTACCGGGCAACCCTCCTGCGACGACAACATGGCCACCACGTTCTTGAACTTTCCGTTGCTGAACATGCACACATCCACGTGTTGCACGATGAAAACCTGTCCACGTGAAAAGAAAATTGTTATTGTATTATGCCAGTGTTTTAAACGATCGTTACAGTATTCGCCGCTTAGTAAACGCGGATGAGGAACTTTCTTGTGACTATTAGGGAGGTAGATGTCCTAACAATGTTCACTGTAATACACAGAGCTACCGCGACTTTCCATTTTTTCTTAACCACTTAGGGACACAGTCTGAGTTTACTCTTAGCAGTCCTATGTCGAGTCAGACTCGACATTTGATTTTATTGCAGCGCCTACTTATTTTAACAACTTTTTATGTATTTATTTGTAGTACCACAATTGTGCCCTTTAAAAGTACCATTTTAATGATTTCCAAATATTCTGGACTAAATAATTAGAGTGTCATATTAAGCTGTAATTGAATTAAATAACGTCGATGTAAACCTCAAAAGGAAGTTAAGAGTTATAAATATTAATCTAGTTAGGTTTATAATATTCACACGTTAAGGGGTACGAAGATCTTGACCGTTTTTCCGTAGAGTTTTTCTTTTGTAGCAAAGAAAAGCAGGATTAATTATTCATTATTTAGTGTTACAATCCTTGCATTACAGTATTATCAACTTAGTTACGTTATTAAATATTTTCATTCGACATCGGTTATTTTGCATGCTACGATTGTTTTCAAGCAATTCAGAAGCGTCGGTCATCGGTGACGGACATGGCGCTTAACGTGTTAATCTGTCTGTTTAACACTAAACTGCCGAGCAGTTGAATTGATTTTCCGACATTTGTCTATAGAAACTGCACCTATTGAGATTTTCATTGATTCACAATTCAGCTTACGTAGTGCTAAAACAATTTCTCTAACAATTTCCCAGAGAAACAACTGTTATCTTTGTAATAATTACAAATGGAAGAAATCAGGAATGGGTTACTTCGACCCGTCTGGTAGTTGAAGTGTTAACACGTTCCGTGCCACGTGTACCATATATGATACACGCCAATTTTTGTAAGAAAATATTTTTAATATACACGGTCACGGATAGCGGTATACGTTACAAAGCAGTGAAAACATAAAGAAACAATATCAAAATACATAAAAATGACCAAAAACTTTATTTTATTGAAAATTATATTATATATAATTATATTTAATAATATAACTATTATTCTATTGAAAAAATCGATACTGTTCATAAGCAAAATATAACCGAAGTTCCCGTGGCACGGAACATGTTAATATATAAACATTGACGTACATGTTATATAAATTCTAACCTATTTCTTATATAAACATTAATCTATTCATCATATAAACACTAATCTATTTACTACGTAAACGTTAATTTACGATCTAACAGATTACAAAAACAGGTGATATTTCGGTGGGCAACCGCAAGACAGCAAGCGGCTAATCGTGAGTTAGCCCTGTGTCGCAGTACGGTGAGAACGAGTCGGGAGCAAGACGCGTCTATTAAACGGCTAGTCGGCTATTTGCCCAGAGAGCAAACGCGATCGTTTGCAAACGCGGGACCATAGCACACTGGGTCGCGTGTCAGTCTGTTTGCCTAGCTGTCGGAACAAAGTTAACGGCGTTCGCGTATTTGCAACTCGTACGCGCGCACCGTGTATGTAACGTACAATACGTGCTCACGTCGTATATCGAGCCCGTCCGTTCCCGTTTTCAAACAATGATCGCCACGCTCGCTAATGAACTGTACCGCAAAGGCAATCGGGGCGGACGGCGATCGCTTTATACGACCGAGCCTCTTTTCTGTCGCGAACTCGCGCTGCCCCTTTTACACCTAGGCCGCCTTACTCTTGCTATTCTCCCCTTACCCATCCTGTACGTATTCTTCAGCTGAAATTATCGCACTTACTTAACACTATCAGCACTGTTTTCTTCTTTCTTTCTGATGGGCAATTCGCTTGGAAGCTTTTGCCCTGGAAATCCTCTATCTGACTACATAGTTTGGTTTCGCCCCTGGTTTCTGAGCTTTATCTAACTAGCACCTTTTCATGAAAATCGAACAGTTAATTTTTGTAAATATTTTTTCAAGTATAATCCAATGTGAGTCTGAAATATTTCCAGTACTTTTCGAATGTAAATGTTGCATAGAATTTGAAGATTTGTGGAACTGAGTTCATCATAGCTTATGCTTCAGCTATATATACAGTTATATGTAGTTTTATTACTATAAATACTAATATAGTTATATTATTACAAACACTAGTACAGTTTCATTATTACAAACAGTATTTACTACAGAACTTACTGCAACTATAAGCCACAACTATACAGTGAAACCTTCAAAGGTTAAAAGCTTCATTTGCATTGAACCTTTAAACATGAAACACACAAGCTAAAGATCCCTTGCTCTTCGTTAACTCCCTAACACTAGGTGTATCTTTTTCACGAATATCCCCACGTTCCCCGTGAAGCTGCCGCGTTAATCAGTTTTTCCTTCGCGGGGAGACCGGGTCGGCGCAGAAGTCATTTGAAGTTAATCGAATGCAGCAGACGGCGAAAGGGCCACGCGTTCCATTAGCGAGACTCTACGGACTCCTCAAAGCTTTTCGCTTATTAGGTAGATCGAGAGACGCACCGGGAAGCTACTCGAGCATTCTCTGCCCTTTCCTCCCTGGTATCTTCTTCTTGTTACCGATATCCCGCATCTTAACGACAGTCTTATAAACTTTCGCGCGACTTGTCCTTCTGCCCACGCTTCCACGTGGTTCTCGGCATCCTAGTCGATCACGTTAGGGTATTTGCATTTCGCTTCGTGGTTTTCCACGATGCAAACGATCTTTTCATTTAAATCGCGACGATGTACGCTTCTGAGGGATAGATTTTCTGATGGGTACGTAATTCAGGTCTTTGCTTAGAGGATTTAAGAGAATTCTCTGGGAATATCAGATAACAGCGTTCGAGAAATCATTTTCGGTTTGAGTGCTGGGAGGATCAACTGAGAGAAGTTGGAAAGTAGTTTCGTAGAAGGAGCGCTGGTTTGATTAGTCGAAGTGGAAAGGTGATTAGGCTTTAGCGTTGTTATTCCTTATGCTTGCCAAATACATAGCCACCAACTTCAATTGGTAAATGACTTTCACATTCATTGGTCGTTTTACAGTTTGTGAATTGATTAGAAATGAAATGATTTGACTAACCTATGATCACATTGAACCATCAGACTTTGAACTTATTACATTCTTCTTTTTTTCTAGTATATTAGTAAGATCACTAGTTTCATATCAGACGTAACTAAGACATAACTTTTTCTCTATTCGCACACTTTAACCCTTTGCTGTATGCTTTCCAAGTACTTATGTAGCCATCAACTTCAATCCTTCGTCTTATGTCTGTCAAGTATATAGCCACCGAGTGCAACCTCTTGTCTCACAGTTTGCCCTGTGCCTACATTCACAAAAATTTTTTTATTGCTACTGATTTTCGATTTGTTCACATATGAACGCATTAAAGGTATGTTCCTAACCGTTCTCCCTCGTTAACGTGACCCGTACTTGGTCAAAGTTGAACCAAAACATTTACGACACCTACTTCGAGCACGATTCGCAGCCGGATTAGACGCGCTCGCGTGTCCTGCGAATGCGATTCGGTTTAATGTGTTCCTAGTTGCAGATGTTACGTGTTTCCGAGCTCTTCGCCAGCTAATATGGGTCATTATACATTGTTTTCGGTGTGTCGAGAACTTTCATGGTAATTCCCTTCACTGTTGACGTCACGTTTCGAGTAATCCCGTTTACGTTTCACCCTGCGCGCTTCGAATTCTAATCACTTCTATTTTCCGTACAATTACTCCGCATTATTGTGTGTGGTCTATTCAATGCGATTTATAATTCATAGAATCGTTGTTGGGAACAATGTAAATAATCTTTTTTATTAATTATATTGAAAATTGTGTAATAGGTATCTTCTTTTACGAATTATATTAGGAATAGTATAATGTATTATTTTCACTAATTGCATTGAAAATAGTGTAATATATTATTTTACTAATTATACTGAAAATACTATAATAAATTATTTTACTAATTACATAGAGAACACTATAATACATTATTTTACTAATTATACTAAAAATACTATAATATGTTCTTTCATTAATTATATAGTGAACAATGTAATATATTATTTTGCTAATTATATTGAAAATACTATAATATAATCTAAAGTAACGTTAACGTTCATTCGGGTTTTAAAGAGAGATAATTCGAATGAAGAAGGGAATTAGCCGTAGCGGGCCGTCTGCGGTCAGATGCAACAGGCGCCGCATATCTTTGCGAGTTCCGCTGTGCATACAGATCGAACGGCTCGATGTGAAGTTTGAAGAGATACCCTGGGACTTAACGTTCCGAGATTTCCATTTGGAAATAAAACGATTTCACAGAGTTCCTTCCTTTATCCTTTCATTTACTTCTTTGAATAGTTTATACATCTCGTTTGAATCGCTTTGTAATTCATTCAATGGTCGTCCTACAATTTGACAATTGTTTAGAAATGAAATTATTTGACTAACCCTGCGATCAAATCTATCTATTATGTACATTCTTCTTTCTTTATAGAATTATGACGTACTCTTTTCTCTGAATATGTTTCAAAATTTAACGAAAAGCCTCCAGTAGTCGTTAATCACATACACAATTCTTATTCTATTAACCCTTTGCACTCGAGAGGCGATTCTCAGTCGCCACTTGATTCAATACAGCAAAACTATGAAGCTTAATATTGAATGTTAACACTAAAACTATCAGACGGGTCAAAATGATCCATTCCTATTTATTCATTTAGCAATTATTAAAAAGACAACAGATGTTTCTCTGAGTAATTATTAAAGAAATTGATTTAGCAATACGCGAATTGAATTATAAATCAATTGAAGTCTCAATAGATAGATGCACTCTTGAAGTTTCTGTAGAGGAATTTGAAAGAGTCAGTTCAATTGTTCGGTAGTTTTAGTGTTAAACCTTGTATAGTGCAACGCTATGTGAAATATCGAAATGAAACAGTTTTGTTCCTTAATTTATGTATGAATTACCGTTAAGTTAGTACCAAAAAACACCGTCTATATCTCATTAGAAACTGTTGAATATCTCTACTGGGTAACTTTCGAGTGTAAGGGGTTAACAATGTTTCAATTAGACAGACAATCCTAGGAAGCATCGTTACAGAATCCCTTATTTTCCCCCATTTTGCCCCGTAATTGATTCTTCTGTCCAACGGAGCCACTTAAATCAATTTATCGCGCTCGTTAAAAGCTGCCGTTCCCGCTCGATTTCGTCTGCATTCCCGTCGTTGTTTCCTCGAATTATTTTTACCGCGTCGCATTAAATTTGCCCGTAAAATCGTATGGATTTCACAAGTTACGAGAACAACGGTGGCTGTAAATATTACGCCGTCGTACGCTTACGACGTCCCGCGAAGTAGAACAGCTCGCCACTTGGTCGGACGGTTGCAGTAGAATCTACGGTTACGGCCGTTACCGATTCTACGTTTTATCGATACCGTTAAGCTTCCGGATCCCCGGGTAACGGGTTCGAATCATCGACGCGCGCCGTTCATGTTTATTTTATGATAACCATATCGCGGATTTTTATTGCCATATAGGAAATTCAAAAGTTTGAACCGTCATCTAAAACATCTAACGTGTAGTACTTTTTACAATGTTTGTTCGATATAGCCGTTTTCTATCGTAATTCTATTATTCTGATTATGTTCTTAAGCATTTGAATTTTAGAAAGATAAAATGTTAAGCGTAGAAATGAATTTTTGAAACAGAATCATCTATTTAGAGATGAACTTTTATAGATTTTAACTTTTCAGACTTTCTAGATTTCACGATCCTCGAAACTCTCATTACTTTCGACGATCATCTTTTACGCGTGAATTAGGATTTCCAAATGATAAGGAAACGTTTACACTTGAAATAGATTTATAACACTGACAAAATATTGAGTTAATCTCTAAACCTAACGTAAAGTTTCATAATAAATCAATTTCTAACTAGATCTAAAGATACCAAATGGATTCCTAAATCCAACGAAGGAGAACGAAAGAGCAGAAATAAATTTCCAGAAATTCTTCGGAAACGAATGAATATCTTACACGATTCTTATTTCTCTTTGTCGAGTTGTCTTTGAATATAGAATCACCCGTAGTTAGTATCGCGAATCAGAAATGAACCAACTAAAAAACTACAGTCATAATATTCGTTTCGCGTCAGAAGTTCAGGCCGGATGAATAATTAAACAGTCTACTGGAAGGTGTAGCTCTTCCCACACCCAGTTAAACTTTCATTCGAATGAAGTCCATTTCTGCGACGTTATCGCCGCGCAAGCAGTAACAACGAAAGCCGATGGACAGCCGGCCGATGAATCGATCAAATATGAACCGGTGGATCAGACGCGTCCGGACGGTTAGTTCGAAATTGCACCGCGAGACGCAAAGTCCGGCAGACTGTGAACAAACCCCGAAAATTCGACTATACACATAATGAAAATTGAAGGTTATCAATCTGTTGCCATACAATCCCGGCTGTGCAAAGTGATTTTTATTTCAAAAATTAATAAGTGATAACCACTGTTTAGCACGATCGAAGATTATTTTATAGACTAATGTAGCATGTAGATCTGATTTCATATATTTTTGCAAATAAATTCCGTTTCTCTATTTATATAACATTGGAATCGATACGCAAAGTATCCAGTCATTTAAAAAACTTCATAATATTCCTATAATGTAAAAAAAATATAACCGCCATATGTTTAGGACTATTCCTTACAACTTTTGTATGAAGCAGTTTTTTGTATTACTCATACTGTTTAAGTTACTGAATTTTCTGCAGAAAACGTGCGTTTGGCCACCTGTGGACAAAATCCGAAAATTCGACTGTTCACATAAAGAAAATTAAGAGTTGACAATGTGTTTAATAATGCCTGCTATACAAACAAAATTTTATTTCACAAATAACAGTTTTGTGTGAATAAATTCCGTTTCTCTATTTATATAACATTGAAATCGAAACGCAATGTATCCATTGTTATTTGATAAACTTTATAATATCCCTATAATGTAAAAAAATATAACCACCCTATGTTTAGATCTATTCGTTAGAACTTTTGTCTGAAGCAGTTTTGTGTATCACTCACAGTTGTTAAGTTATTGAATTATGTCCAAAAAACGGGAGTTTGATTGCACTGTGCGACGTGTCGATCGACGGAAGAGGGAGAGAAGGGAAGAGGGAAGCACGTGGGGCGTCGAAAGAGACGTCTCGAGGGGATGAAAATATTTCCGTCCCGAAGGTCTTCGAATCGCACGGCGGATCCGTTTTCCAATAAAAGACGCTTCTCACCTTGATCCTTCTCACCGACTTTCTGCTGTTGTTGTTCACGTGAATCTGGACCACGATCGAATCCCCGTGGGCGTAGATCGCGCGGTCCAGCTTCCCCTCTAAACCAACACGACCGTCGCCGAATAAGAAGGGTTTCTCCACTGCCGCGTGTGATCCGCTGTTTTCTGCGATCGAGACATATTTTTCACGAATCTTATTCCTCTATCGTGATACTTAACCCTTAACGGTCAAGAGCTTTCTTTGTAATACTCGCCCATAAGACGTTATATTGCGGTAAATATTTTTTGTCAGTGCATGATCAACAAACCAATGGTGTAATAAGTTGCCATATTTGATAAAGGAAACTACAGCAATGATAAATTAATGAAATGAAAACTAAATTCTTTTCATGTCCCCGTAGCGGGGCCTTTCGGCCGTTACGGGTTAACTATCTATCAGTGATATGTAGTCTAACAGAATTGCAACCGGCAGATTTTTCGCGTTTCTGATACTCATTGCCGTTGAAAATGAAGGGAACCTTAAGCTAATTACCGGAAATTTATGAAGTTAACACTAGATTTACGAAACGCGTCAGTTTCACGTATATTAAATTTTATAAACACTACTTGGTAAATGTTTACAACTTTGGCTGATGTAATAGCACCAGTATGTTCTTCAATCATGTATCTTTAAATTTTTAACTTTCAAGATTCAACTGTATGAACAGCAATTTTTCCAGAAAGCAGTAGAATGAACCGTACAACAAATGCCCGTAAACCTAGTTTTAAAGCAGGGACGAAATCTAAAAAAATTGTTTTGTAGTAGTAGCCTTGTAGCGAATTGTTGTTTAGAATAAAGAACTTCCTGTTAAAGAAGTCGCAAATGGAAAGGATAGTTAATATAAGATTATAAAAGATTATTAAGAAGGATAAAATATTTTGGAAGTTATTATATTTGAGAAGACGTGAATTCAGTGGTTGTGGCCTGTTAAGTAAATAGGCGTACTTAAATTACGGTAGATGCAATCGCGTCAATGGGGATTGTTCCTTATGAAAGTTACAGTGGAGATAGATTTTCATGGAAAATAGATACTTGAGTGGTATATTTAACAGTTCTGAATAACTAGTAACCTGGAAGACTAGTTAGACGTCAGAAATGCTAGATGATGTCTTTGAAATCTAGGGTCTAGAGTCTAAATAGTCTCAAGTCTCTATCGTTCAAGGTTAAAAATCTTCAAAAGATCTTTCAGAATAAAAATGAGCATACGAATAGATGTGAATTTACCTTCGTCCTCAATGATCTCGTTCTCCGCGAACGTTACTCTAGTCTTACACGGCTGATTCCTCGATTCCGCGGACGGACTCTCCGACACCGGCACGCTGTACACTGTGGTAGCTGGCAGTGGTGGCCTCATGGTACGTTGGATCACTCGGATGCCCATTCTGACGGTCGTTTTTCGTTGCAGCTTCTCATCTGCTCGTTCAGCTTTAACGTAACAGGTTGCAACATAAATACATAACTTGTATTTACTAACACGGCGAATGCTGAGCGGTTTCACGGAGCAAAATACACGAAACGAAAGAAAATACAATATCAAAGTATTTGATTCAATTATGTTATCATTGCTGCACGGTTATCTTGCTAAACGCCATCGCTTTATGTTGCATTATTTCTAATACGGAGAAGTTTTTAAATAATCATCAATTAATTCAGTGAATTATAATAATTCGATTTGGTTGAGGGTCACCGGTGACCCACCACGACATTCAACGTATTAAGGACCATATTAACCCATTTGCATCTTCGCTTTAACCAGTTAACTGCGTTCGACGTGTATACACGTCATCTTAAAACGCAAAATAGTACGAATTTTTTCAACGATAAATTATTCATTCTTTCAGATAAATGTGTAATTCTTCTTCATTTTGCATTAGCTTTTCGTTAGAATATTTTATAGATGCATTTGTATACACTTTATTATTTCATTTTATTGCGCGCACAATGAGAGATTTTTCAAATTACATTTCACAATTAACTGGTTAAATAATAAGCTTATTTTGTAAATCAGAGATGCTCAACTGAAAGTCCTTCAAGCTTTTGATTGAAATTAATCTGACCGATTGATATAGCCGAGTAACGCATAGACAACTAAAAGTACTTGTGTACAACATTCCGCTCTTGATGATTATCATATTAAACACTCGGTAGTCCTAGCATTAAGTTTTATTCTATTTCATAAACACGACTTGCAAAGTAAACATTACAAGCATGAAGGCTCCTAGCGAAACGTATGCTGGTAGCGGGCGTGTTAATATTTCATTAGTTCTGAGAGTGTTTCGACATCGACCGCGTTATTTACGAAACACGCCAGTTTGTTCTATCCTACGTTTCGCGAGAAAGCGGTGGGAGGGTAGGAGAAAGGGGATGATTTAATTTACCGCGCGCTAATGTAATACGTCGGCCCCGGGGATCGCTAAACCGAGAATTTTAAGCCGAGGAACTGCGCGAGGTTCGACTAGACACCGACATCGGTCACAAATTAGTCGTGGCCCGGATAGAATACGCAATCAGCATGTCTCGCGGCTGCTGTTCTAGCTCTCCGCTAAGTAAATTCCGAAAATTGATGTTAATATAATCATTTGGTGAGCGCGAATCCTATCGAACTAGGATTCGTGTCTGCGATTCCTTTGATTCCGTGCTGCAAAGCATTCTTTTTCCGCGTGGGTGATTCTGTTTACTCTTCCTTTTGAGACTCGAGTTACTGATATTTTTATACATTGTACTGTTGTATTATACTATGAGTATATAGAGATTAATTCATGATATACTTTATCTCCTTCAAGAATTCCATTACTTTTTCGAAGATCATATTGCTTGGTCGTCAAGTCACAAATTAGGCGCTCTTAACTCATTTCCTTTTATGGGGCTTATATAGAAAATGAATAAAAAATATATTTTGTATTTGTTTTCTTGGAAAGTTCATAAAGTGTTAATACTTTTGAATATTGAAATGCTACTATATCAAAAGAAAAATTGTAAAAACGAAATTTGTTAGGAATTGGGTTAAGATTCAAAGGAGGACTTTCAAAAAAGTCTCTCTAACATTTAGCCGATTAAACAAAATGTAGTTGACATTTGACCAAATTGAACTTTGGAATACAAGCTCGGAACCCTCCTTTCAAAAGTAAACAAAATGTCTAGCTGGCGCTGAGTTTGTGTAACAATAGAAATTCGATAAAAATGCTGTGGGAAGGATCAGTGTAAAAGGGATGATCGTTCGAATTGGATCGGAGAAGGGTGGAACAGAAGGGGATTAAAGTTTCTTCGAAACGTAATGGCGTGAAAAAAGTGGCTGTCATCATCGCATTCGTTTTACTCACCGACATAAGCCCGAACGTCGTAACTGGTCCCTATTGGGGCACCATTGTATTCCTTTGCCGGGACCAATTGTACCGAGGGCGGAGCTAACGGCGTGATCTCCATGGTGAACGCGTGAGCATTGGGGCCTAGTCTCCTTACCAACGCCTCCTGTGAAACCAATAGCGATCATTCTTAAATCTCTAACCTTTTAACCTCTAGCTCTATAATATTATGTTAGAATTGCAATGAAAATTTATAACTAAATTTGTCAAACCAAAATGTCATTTTCATTTTTTGAATGTGTAACTATTAGTATTGTTAATTAAATATTACTATTATGAATCGAATATTACTATTATGAATTAAATGTTACTGTTATGAATTAAAGGTTACTGTTATAAATTAAAGGTTACTATTATGAATTAAATGTTACTATTATGAATTAAAGGTTACTATTATTAATTAAATATTACTATTGTAGTATCTAGAATATTTAGTATAGGTTAAAGTATTGTAAGATGAATGGTTTGTTGTGCGTGCGTAAGGGCGACCAGGTCGTATTGGGACGGACCGGCGCTGGGATGTTTGGAAAATAGTGTGATTGTGTTTAGAAAATCTCGAGTGGCTGAAAGAATACGAGGAAGAGTGTCTGGAACTGAGCGACTGGACCGTGAGAAAAGCGTGTACGTGACTGCATGAATTTTGACTGTGGACGAAAGATGCGAGTGAGAAGGGTGTAAGGGTGACAAAGACAGAGCGAATGGGGGTGTATGTTAAAAGCGAGTGGGAATGCGTGCGAGAAGGACATTTTGGTGAGAGACAGCGGAGAACAGTTTTGTGCGTGATAGAGAGTCGTGTGTTGGTCTTCGTGGTATTAAGTTGTATTTTTACGTGTTGTCCATATTGTTTCTTTATCTCATTAAATACATATATATTGTTTCCTAATTCTCTTTTTACTGAAGATCCACCTTTTCAATATCTAATAATAATAGTCCTCACTATAAACTTGGGGGCTCGTCCGGGATCACTATACTATTATTATTAATCGTTAACTTATAGTAAGCAGAGAGGTAAAATAAGTATCATAGGTCAAGGGTATATAAGTAGCTTCATCAACTACTGTTTTGAAACATATTATAGGACAGAAGGTTAATTGAGAATTACGAATTAAATTAAATTTCCTTTCGTAATAGTTCTTCCTTTTCCCTGTTTATCCGATAAATAATTTTTGTGTTTCGTCGAACCATAATGTCTGTGCTATTACAGACAGAGAATTACTATCTTAGAAGGAGAAGTTAATTAGACATTGGTTTCCTCTCTTAAGGATCTTACTAAGTAAACTAATATTAACACTGATAGACTGTTGAATTCTTATATACATTTCTCCAATCCAGATTCTATGCGCTTATGCATAAATGAATAAAATCCACAATGTGCTAATTAATATATGCTTTTCCTCGACAATCACTCGATTCCCATTTATCAGCGTATGAATGCGTATAGCTTTCGGATAATGTTCAATGAGTCCCAGTCGCCTCATTAATCGGCGAACGAATAGACGTGAAAGGGAAAAAACGACGGGGCAGCCTGGAACCGATCCAATTCACTGGGATAAATACTCACACGGGTTCATGAAGGCATTTAAAATATAGAGGAAATCATTAATTTAATAAAATCATTCTTTTAGAATCTCCTTTAATCTAAATTGTTAGTCGCCCAATTAAATCAGATGATCGTGGTTCTACTGTATATCATATTTATCTATTTATCTATTGGAGATAGAGAAAAGCATTTATTAGAAAAATATTTAGCTATTTATTTAATTAGATACTTATCCTATAGTACAATATAGACTCTACATTGTAGACTTCATAATATAGATATTATGGACTCTATAGTATTCGAACAACATTGATTTATTTATTTATTAGGCAGTATTCCTACATTACAATATAGCCTCTATATTGTAGACTTTATAATATTGATATTATAGACTCAATAATATTAGAATGACATTTATCTATTTATTCATTAGACATTAGGCCTATATTGCAATGTAGACTATTTATTTATTAGGCATTAAGCCTATCTTACAATATACAGTCTATAACGTAATATAGGTCTAATGCCTAATAAATAAATAGCTAAATATTGTTCTAATATTATAGAATTTATAATATCTATATTATAAAGTCGTCTGCAGAAAGAATTTTAGAAAGAATACAAATATAAATATAAATGCAAGTGCAAGTGCAATTGCCAGTGTAAATACAAATACAAGTGCAGATTCGGGAAGAATGTAAACTTCAGTCAAAATTTACGAATAATGCATGAAGTTATATGTATCTCACGTATCAGACTCGCAACCGCATCGAATGGAAATACAGAATTCGAGATACTTTCATGGATCAGTGTATATCTCCGCCGGCGTCGCCTTAATCCCGGATTGGTCGCGTTAATAAACTACCTGCTGGAGCTAATTCTCGAACCGTATAACGCGGCAACACCTGGGCTTTATGATTTTATACCGAGAGAGATCCGACTGGGAGATTATTTTGTTCGCCGGCGCGAAATGCGGCTCGCGCCTCGGTCTCGTTAATTGCTTCGTTACTAGAGGACAAATCGATTTCTACGAGTTCGCGTCGCCGATTAACACATTCGAGACCGGCAACGTAGTCTTACGTCATTTGAAATTCTTTAACTGAATACTCGTGACGTAGGTCCGCGTCATTTTCAATTGTTTTAGCAGAATTATATTATATTATATATATATATATATATGATAGATCTGTTGAAAGTGGACTAAGTCATATGTTTTTAGTTCCAAGGTATTTCAAGGTTTTAAGGCGTTTGAATAAATTAGAAAATTTATTAATTGAAAGATACTTTTGAAAGATAAGAATTTATCATGACTGTGTAATGTTGTGTGACATTTATAAGGAAATATGATTTTTCATGCTTGAGATCATTTACGCCACCTTCAAAATTAAAGACACAGCTGTAGACTTTTGGAAATTAAATGCGCCTGAGATGTGTTAAATTCGTCGCGCGATGAATCAATGGGGAACGCTCGAAATTAGTGGTGTTTCATCAACAGCGTTCCGTTCGATGCGATACGTGCCTAGAAATGTTTTCTTTCTGTTAATCTTAGCAGAACAATATTTTTTTTGCTGTTCTATTTGGAAGTTTTCTGTGAAAGAAACTAGACGAAAAGATATTGAACAGAGAGTTCTTTGTTTTAGGTACTTCGTTGAGCTATTGTCTCGTGAACGGCTTTTTAAATCATTTAACTGAATTTTTCAGTATTAACGGTGACTACAAACGCATATTAAAATTTTCCACGGAAAGTTATATTATTAAATAATTTTCTCTTTATGAATTTGTCAGCTTGTAGGATCCTTTATATATTCATATAACTTTTCGACGATAAATGTGAACATATTGGCTGCATCAGGGTTTCATATTTAGAATCGAAAGTTGCGATAAATGCGTTTAATTATTTCAATAACGGAAGACTGATGGTAGCAGTAGTTCTCTCATTTATTAGCGTTTAAGGTTTCGATATTTAATTCGCTTTTCTGTGAAGATCTTTCATATTTTTCATATTTTCAATATTTTAATAGTTTTAAAATTCGCAAAATTCCAGCATTTCTAATATCATTTTATATTCTAATACTCAATGAGCTTGTAATATTTTAAGATTAATATATTATAATCTTCCCATGATAAAGTGATGTTCTATCGTCAAACATATCGATTGAACACATTTCACATTTACGATCAAGACACCTGGAAAGAAAAGCTTAATCGATTTTAAGAGACGATAGGCATCCCGCTGACGGAAGGAAAATCGTTGGACCGACGTGTTCCTCCCGCGTCATGAATAATGTCGCGCGTCACGGCTCGGATTTCCACGGCGAAAAAGTCTGTCACGGTATTGTCGTGCCACACGAGTCGGTGGTGTTTACGAGCGCCGTCGTTTCGACGTTTTCGAGCGAATGAATATACCGTTGCGGAGGCCGCATGTATTAATTCGCGTTCGGCGTTTGCTCGACATTGCACCGTCATCGGGCTTTTCTAATTAACGGACTTAAACGTCAAGGGAACGCGGGAAGTCAATATACACCGGACGCTTGCCAGAGAGCTGCTTTATCCCTTCGAGCGACTCAAAATCCGACGAAAATCGCGTGTCGATCAACCGTAACCGATCCAAATTAATGAGAAGCTGTCAGTTCTGAGCTGGAGCTTTGTTGAAATGAAACTCGTGGCGAAAGTTTTCGCCTCGATTCGTTCAGTTGATACGAAACAATGAATTGTTTTGCTGTCGACGATATTATTTTTATTTGAGAATCAATGGATTGGTACAACTCAAATGTTGGAATTAGTCAGCCAGTAAAACTCAGAAATCTAGAATTAGCTAATCAGTAAAGTTCAAAAACAGAAATTAGTGAATTAGTAAAATTAAGAAATCTCGAATTAGCCAATTAATACAATTCGAAAGGTGAAATTAGTCAATTAATAATATTCCGAAGTTAGACTTAGTCAATTAATAATATTCTAAAGCAAGAATTAGTAACTTGATAATATTCCAAAGCTAGAATTGCACAATTAGAAACATTCAAAAGCTGTAAGTAGTCAATCAGTAAAATTCAAAAACTGCAATTAATCGATCAATAAAATTCGAAAGATGGATTTAGTCGCTTTAATCCGTAAAACACCCGGTCGACGCTTTTCGAAGAATCCGAACAGCTTCTACGCCTTTTCGCCGTTCAGTTATCTCGCGTCAAAGCGTTTCCAGACCAGATTCCTACTCTATTTCCCTCAGTACGGCTTCTCCCTGGTTTTTTCCGCGGACCGCCTTCATGCCGCGGATTATCCTCTTTCTCTTTCTCTTCCTTTTTTTTCTTCGCCGCATGCATGATTGATGAGCTACGTAACGCCTTTCAAGCTTTATCGCATTGGCTCCCTTTGAAACACACCGCGGAGTCGTAATGTTCGTAGTCCACCGTGAAGCGACATTATCACGGCCGTTTGAGTGGGACCGTTCTGCTTCAACCGCTCGAGCGTGATCGCGATCTCTCGTGCTCGTTATTTTACGATAGTTCATTAGCGTGAACACACGCCACCGTTCGTAATTGTTGGAACGTTTGAGCCGGTCGTGGAGAATC